ACCCCATAGATTCCGTTATTTGGTAAAAAATATAGTAATTGAAGCGGTAGAAACACTAGCGTACTTATGAATCACGACTGCCCCATCCACTATCCTCTTTTATCCATTGACACCAGAAGGACCAAAGGAAAAACTGGTTGACATCGAATTCATAACCTATCGCGAGCCATGCATTCTATTCACTACCAGGGACAGAACTGTTTGAAAGCGGCCTAGGCATATACCTGATCTTGAAGTCAACTTCAAGTTGGTGTGATTATCTTTCGCACAAACTGACCTCAAATAGACTGCCAAGACTACATATGGATTCTAGAAGGCATGGGATACGGATCGCAAAGCGACGTCTTTAGGTAGTGACCTTCAGCGTAATTTTCTGCGATTGACTAGCATTTTTCTGCAGTTTCAAGGGATGACGTATCTATACAACATTGAGCATATGTTGTAGAGCAGGTAAATACGCCCCGCAACCGCACGCGACACTACTACGTTCGCTACCTCGGGAAGTGAAGAAAAGTAACTTTCATTTTCTTTCGAATCCTTACCTTTACAAGTTTTGCAAGGGTTCTTGTTGACTTCATAGGACCATAAACAAAATGACGATTATAGGTCCTTTCAGGTAAGCTATGCGCCCGATTTCCGCACGTTCAGGACTGCACCGCCAGTTTAATTTGTGCATACGACGTGACCATTGGCTCCCGAATGTTCTCCGATGATTGAGCTGATGTCTCTTCTCTCCCATTCCAGGAACTTAGAAAACATTCGATCGATGAGTTATAATGAGCCCGATGGACCTAAGCAGAGTTCAACACTAACGGACCGAGCAAGAGTCACTCGGCGCCTCTTGCCGCTGAACCACACCAGCGTCGACAGGGTCTTCTGTTCGAACACAGACACAACGATCAAACAAAAAGAAGTTTATTCGTATTTTATTTCACTGTTTCTGTATTCGTCTTGAGCATTTTCATAAGTGCTTCCGCTGATGATCGAGGTGCCAGTGACGTCAGAATTGTCCGTTTTCAACGATTCTACACCGCGTAGCGTGTCGTCGAAACTTCTTGTCTGCAATCACACGCAATGCACATTTTCGCTCACATCAAATTGATCTACGGTAGTCTGGCTATCTTGCCAGCCATGATTGCCACACAACACAGGAAAGATGTAAATCCTTACCGAATCAGATAAAAACTCATCACTGGATTTTTTCTCCAACTTCGGGCAATTTTTGAGAATCTCTTCAATATTTTTTCCTGGAAGCAAGGTGGTCATTCTATGTCATACTACTAATAATGATCAAGTAAAGGTGCACAGGTGGTCAAATCGTTTAGTATACGCCATGCACTGGACTTCATGCAGAATCAGGGAAGCATTTGAATGGGTGATCGACCTATGCCATCACGTGAAGCCGGTTTTTTTCACACCTGGTCCAACATGTGGAAGAAACTGACTTGATTTGGGTTTGACTAGCTGGACATCGCCAAGGTCTTCTTTCAACGACTCCTCGGAAGACATCATCTGCGTTTTCTCCACACGCATGGTGTTTCTGGCCTCATTTTGACCTGTAAAGAATCCAATGAAACTACGTCTGCTTCAATACCAAGAGGGCAGGACTGCGGCGGTCCAGCAGTTCGTGTCAACTGCTCCGATACCGGTTTGGCTCAAGGAGAACTTTGCCAAGTTACGAACTGCTGGCGGCGTGACTGCTGCCATTTTTTCGAGTTTTTGTGTGTAGTTTGGGTTTCTGTGGTGGACAATCCAAAAAGCAGTTGTGGCCAGGGGTGAGGATTTTTGGATGAAAGGAGCTCCTGGGTGTGTGATCCAAGTTCTCATTCCCCACAAAAGCTTCGAAAGAACTAGAGGATCTAGTCTACTGGGGAATTAGGGGGGGGCATGTGGTGCACAACTGAGTGCCGCATACAGTAATCTCAGCTTTTACGGAGGAATAAGCCTCGAGCAAAAGCGAAAGCGAACACTCCGGGATCTGCCTTCTCCCTGCGAAATTCGAGGGCACGAAGCATCGAAGGCTTCCCTTCCCTGGGACTGTCCATGCACTCCTGATGCAGTTCCCCTCCTCTTAAAAC